AAGAAAGAAAGAAAAAACAAGTAAAAATATTAATAATAATAAAAACAACGCATTTCAATTCACTTGCACAAAGGCCAAATGCACATCAAAGAAATTAAGATATTAACCTCATAAGTGAAGGACATGCCCAATTTCAATTGTAAGTTATAATCAAGCTATTCATAATCTCCAATGAAAAACCAAATATTACCTCTAGAGTCGAGAGCCGATGAACAGGGGCTGTGTGTTGGCGTCGAAGGACAAAGGTGGGTACCGAGGAAGGAAGAGATACTGTGGCGATCGCCGAGGAGAAGGGGTTGTGGAGTGTGGGGGTGGAGAGAGGAGAGGAGGAACCAGACCACATTGTGAGAAGCAAGATGTGAGGAGGTTGAGGTCGAGGCGGCGGAGTTCTTCTTCTCGTCGGGTTGTAGTGGTGGTAGCGGTGGAGCCGAATTGCTGATGAAGTGAAATAAGGGTAGATTTTGTGCCCTACACTTTTCTTTTTATTTTTGTTTTTCTTTTGCCTATAATTTACTTAAATATCATTATATTTTCAAAAATGATCATACTTTTTAACAATAATTGTACTTTAATTACATTATTAAAAGTAAAAATTAGCTTTTCTTTAGTTATAGTTTACTTGAATATCATTCTATGATTAAACACTATCATAATTTACAACAATTGTACTTTAATTAAATTATTGAAAAGTGTCATACTTAAATATATTTTTTAAAAATTATGTATGCGTACGTGTTTAGAGAAAATGATTTTTATATAAGACTCGTCATTTTACTAAACATTCACAAAAATATAACATGGTCATTTTAAAAATATTATTATTTATTTTAAAAAAATTGACATATCTATATCTATATATTTTAATATTGTAGATTATTCTATTAATATATCCAATTTTTTTTTATCTTTTTAATCATTAGTCACATAATTAAGTTTTTCTTAATTGTTGTTATATGTTTAAAAATGACGACACAATTGTATAAGCGTCATAAAATAATTACACGTTGAAGCAAATGTCGCCATATTAGTGAATAAGACGATATCTTCTTAAAAATTAACATTATTTTATAATAATTTTTAAAAAGTGTCACCATTTATGTAAATACGACGATAATTTGGTATAAAACGTCATAATTTAATGACACATTTTAAATAAATGTTACAATATAATTAATATTGTGGCACTTTTTTTAAAGTGACATGATTTTATTACATTTTTATAAAAAGCGTTATTATTATGTTATTTTTGTAACGCTTTTTAAAAAATATCGCTATTATTTTAATTTTATAACGCTTTTTAAAAAGCATTGCAGTAATCTCTATTTTAATTACATTTATGATAAAAGTCACCATATTTATGTTGCTAGAAGTCCCTTTTGTTGTAGTGTTCTTCTTCTTCTTCTTCTTCTTCTTCTTCTTCTTCTTCTTCTTCTTCTTCTTCTTCTTCTTCTTCTTCTTCTTCTTCTTCTTCTTCTTATTATTATTATTATTATTATTATTATTATTATTATATTAAATGCTCGATGATATCGGAGTTTCTACGTCTGGCTCAACAGAAATTCTTGATCATTAATTATGTTTTTCATGCATAAGATTTGTTAATAAATAGCTATTAATTAAATGTCAAATATAGACGAAAAAATTTCCCTCCTAAAACCATTTCAATTATGGCAATAAGGATTGATCAATTATATAAATATAGATGTAGATATAGATATAGATAGAGATATAAATTTATTGGTAAGTGTTATTTAAGTAATTAGAGAATATGGTAGATTTACTTGTTGTATATAGAAAGTTGGTTCCACTATGGAACCAACTGTTGGCTTCATAACAAAACCATTATTCACACACAAGTGGATTGAACTTCAAATATTTTCTTAATAACCATATATATATATATATATATATGCATAAATAGGCACGTAACACCCAATAATTTGCGATGCAAATGCCTGTATTAGTGCAGAAAGTTCAACAAATACAAAAAGAGATATATAGATATTTGTAGTTATAAATTTCATTAATTGCACCCAAATATGAGACTGGTTATAATAACTAAGAGCATCCATAATGTTTTAGGTTCAATCACAAAAAATTATATGCCACATAAGAAATAGACATAGTCTAAAAAATTGTATTCTTCAATACAAACAAAAGTTATACTGAGTCTACTGATCTGGCAGCTAGAAAAAGAGACCCGGTCTATCCTTAAGTCTATTTTAGACCTAAGTAGAGACTTAGTCTCTTTGCATTGGAATGAATTTTATTAATTTTACATATTTTTATCTATGTCATTCAAGACTTAAATTTATTTACATGTCACATAGGCAAGACTAGACTCAGTGCATTATATATACTACGAGACGCTAGCAATCGACTAAAAGAAAATACCCACTTTCTTTCCTAAATCACCTCCCAAATTAACACTGTTTACGCCTACAGTAGTTTGGTCTACTAATCTTTTTTCTTCTTCTTCATCATAAAATAGCTTTCAACATAGCCTTTTTCGATCGGTAGCTCCACCTGGCATGGCACTTGTTGTTATGTGTGAATTAACAAGAATTATTTTGAGCAAGTTGTATCGATTATCAAGAGAAATATCGTTATTAAAAGATGGTAAAAACGTGTTCTATTAAACGTGAAAGTTCTTATT